TTTTGTTCTTCAGTCTAGTTGTGGAGGACGTTGCTTCACTGGCCCAAGTTGGCACCATCATTGCTCTCTTTCCGGGCGAGGCAGATCAGTCGCTGGCTTCTGGATGGCCACTCACTGTGGCTGCTAGCTGCTCACGCTGGCTGCTGGCTACACACGGTAGCCCATGGCAACCCACTGCCACAGGGGCTGCAACCTGCGCTGTCGACGGGGACTCAAGGCAGCCCAGCTCCAGGTCGAGCTGCTGTTCAGCATCTTAGTTGCGGAGGGCAGCGTCACTGGCCCTCATATGTGGGATCCAAACCGGGGCCCTCTGGCGTCCCAAGCCAGTTCTTAACCATGGCGCCACTTGGCCGGCCCGTCTTGCTTGTTTTTGAACTTCATATAAATGCAATCATTTCTATTTATTATTTTGTTCCTGGCTTCTTTAATTTAACATGAGATTCACCCATTATATTGTAAATTGTCATAGCTCATTCTTTTTCATTACTGGATTTTTAAAAACTTAACACAAATTATCCATTGTTCCACTGATGGACATTTGGTGTTTCTAGTTTTGGGATACTGTGGGTAGATTTGCTAAGAACGTTTTTGTACATTACTTTTGGTGGGCATAAGCATTAATTTCTCTTGGATACACACACACACGAGGGCTAACAATTAAATTTGTGAAATTTCCACTGTGCACTTCCACAGTGGAAAGTTCACAGACTTAATTATCCGACTTTGTGCACGTGTGCACGTGTGTGTGTGTGTGTGTGTGTGTGTGTTTATACCAATGAGTAGAATCATTGGATCATAAGATGTATCTATATATCTCTACCTTTATCTGTATATCTGTAATAGACACTTCCTGCTTCTCAGAGTGTCTGTATCATTTATTCATTCATACATGGCTGTACTATACATGAATGTGTTCTAAATGCTTCATGGTCTTTGCCAACACTTGGTATTGTCAGTCCTTTTAATTTTAGTGGGGTATGAGTATTTTTTCAAACTTAAAAACAAAATAAAACACTAACATTTGAACTCCTTTTTGAAATAGTCTTATCCAGAATTCCAATATAAAATAGGTAAAGGCAGAGCTACTTTGGCTGAGGCAGGCCTTTTTAAAGAGTGAGTCCCTGCTCTCAAAGAGCTAACCGGGGGATAAGGCAGAAACATATAAAGTGATTCCATTAGTAAATGCCAAGCTTACTAATAAGTAAGTGCCATGTTAGTTGAGAGTCATGACCATAAGGAATTCATAGCCCAGAGGTGATCATATTGTGTGCTTTTATCTTCCTATAGCATTGTTATTCTAGGATAATTATTTAAAATAAGTACTTTAATACTTATTTTGGTATTATTTAGTACTAAAATACCAAAATCATTTAGGCACCCTCAATGACTTGAAGGTGTCACCGGAAGGCTCAGGAATATATGCAGAAGTTGCTGAAGACAGCAGTAAGGAAGGCCTTCACAGTTTTACCTGCCTTAGCTTGTTAACTATGAAAGTTAAGCGTTCCTTTGCTTTGCTTAGGAATTTCCAGTTATTTTCACCCTGCTTGGCACCTCTTGCCTTCCTGGTCAGTTATAGCTACAGAAAAGTAGGAGGCGTAGGGTAATCACCTGTGAGCATTTGGATTCTTCTATGAGAGAATTCTGTATAAGAAAGCATACTTTTATTATGGGGTGGTCAGTGAGTCTTCCTGAGACAATAGTGGATGCAAGACAGGCTTTATAAAACTGAAAATAAAAGCAAAGTATTTAGTGAGTGGGAAAAGGGATGAAAACACATTGCTTTGGCTGGCTGATAATTTATCTTTAGTTCTACATTTAGGTACAACTGTAGAATTTTAGACATGCTATTTATCCTTGATGTTTTCAGGTAGTCATTTCAAGTTCAGTTGTAGCATTGGTTTCTCTAGTGACTGGCCTTATACCTTTGATGTTTTGAATACCATGTTCTGTTGTGATAAATTATTCAACCATTCTGTTCAACTTCATATTAAACTGAGCCATAGTCTTGAATATGATGGCTCCAAAAAATAATGTAGAACTCATTGATCTAATTCTTCCAAACTAATAGAGAGTAGGAAAAAATCAAGGCATTTTAAAAATGTGTTTTTGCCTTTTCTTTCAAGAAATGTTTATATAGAAAGGTAGGGAGAGTACATTCTAAGGAAAACACTTTCTGCGAATAGATGTGTCCCAGTAGAATTCTTCAGGTGATTGAGTGTGGAAGAGGATCTTGCTGGTTAGTGAGTGAGTGGTACCTACTGCTGAGGCTGCTCCTCGAATATTTTGAGTAGGAAATACAGGTGAAGTTTAAAGCTATCGACACTGACCTCTTTTCATGGATTGTGGAATTTTTGTGGAATTTCAGTCATTTCCATCTGGGAACATTCAGGAAGTTACTAGAGTGTACAGCATTGTTTCTGCTATTAAACACATCAAGATACTATAAAATTACCTGGAACAAATAAAAATCATCAGTAACAATTTTTGAAAATCCACCAAAGTATACTCAAGGATGAGTGAAATAAAAAAGTAACCTAGGGGCCAGCTGAGTGGCGCGTTGGTTGAGGGCTGGCTTGGGATGCCAGAGGGCCCCAGTTTGGCTCCTACATGTGAGGGCCAGTGACACTGCCCTCTACAGCTAGGATGCTGAACAACAGCTCAACCTGGAGCTGGGCTGCCGTGAGTCGCTGGCGACGGTGTGGGCTGCAGCCCCTGTGGCGGTGGGTTGCCACGGGCTGCTGTGTGTAGCCGGCGGCCAGTGTGAGCGGCCAGCAGCCGCCGTGAGCAGCCGTCCAGAGGCTGGCGACTGATCTGCCTTGCCCGGGAGGAGCGCAGTGATGGTGCTAACTTGGGCCGGTGGGGCAGCATCCTCCACAACTGGATTGAGGAACGAAACGACAGCGACTTGTCTGTTCCCCTTGCCCCAGTTCCCCAGCGCTGTTCCCATCCCCCCAATTCCCCAATTAAAAAAAAAAGTAACCTAGG